GAAGGGGACGGAAGGGCTTCGGCGCCCCGGCTCCTCCAGCGGCCGCCCGGGTCCCCAGCACCCGCGAGCGCCGGTTCGCACCTACCTGCAGCCCGGCTTCCTGGTGGTGGCAACACCTAGCGATGCTCCTGCAGCTTCCGCGGGCCGGCGCCAGCCTTATCGCTCTTGCATCGCTTCCAAGATGCCAATCCGCCGTCCCCGATCAGGGGCATAGGGAACCCAAGTCCGGCGGGGTGTGCTCGGGGAGGGCAGGCGAGCGGGTCCCGAGCGTGCGTGAGCGCGCGCGCGCCTCTCCTCCTCCGAAGGCAAAGCGGGCTCAGGCGCCTCTTGACATTTACACCGGAATCCCCTTAAAGCGGGTGGACGGTGGAGGGCGCGAGCCTCGCCTCTTTCCCCCTCCCCCTCTTTATGCCACTGTGTCAAAGTAATCAAAAGATTTGTTTACTGAGGACGAGCCGAAGTCCCGCAGCCCTCGCCAGCGCCCGCGGTCGCCCGCCGTCCTCGCCGGATGCGCGCGGTGCGCTCAGCTCCCCCCGCCGCGAGAATCGAGGCGGTCTTGCAGCAATTACCGCCCTTACTCCATCTCTGATTTGTTTGCTTTTAATGCGGAGCACAGACTTTTCCTCTCGCCGCACGCCGTCTGCCCTCTCGCACACACTCACGCAACCTCCGTGCCTTCTCCCGCGCCCGCCCGTCCGCTCTCCGGGGAAAGGCAATTGGACGGAACGGTTCACCTTCAGGAGAGCAGCCTCCGCCGCGCGCTCCTCCGGTTCCCTGGCTGTCGCAGGTCCCGGGTCTCCGAGGCGGAGGAGCAGCTGGGGAGGCTCGGAGCTCGGCCGTCCTCCGCCCGCAAGCCCCCAGGTGGCTCGGTTCAGGCGCCCGCGTTCCCGCTTTTAGCAGATAGGTCCCAGCTGAGGCTCTCGGAGACTTTGCGCCGAGTCCAATCAGCAGCAACTCCCGCCCAGCTGCAGCCCTCCGATCCCTCCTAGCAGCGCCGCGGGCAGAGCCCCACGCCGCGCAGCCGCTGCCCCTCTAGGCATCGTGGGCTGGGAGGGAGGGAGGGAGGTCGCCGCTGTCCCCCTTTCCCCGGTACCTGGCAGCGTCACCACAGAGAAGGTGTGAGTTCCAACATCCGACACGAGCGAGCAAGTGCTGCCTGTGTCACTTCGCTAAAGGCGGGAGGGGAGAGAAAGGGGCGGGGGAGGGGGTCGCGGAAACAAATCCAAATTACCGAAGGGGTAAAAAAAACAAAAAACAAAGTAGGCGGTTTAGTAATGAAAGCCTCCTCTCCTAAGCGCCACACAGCCAAAAAACACCGTGGGTATCTTTTAAAAAGTCACCGTAAAGGGCAGAACCCCCTGTTCCACCCACACCCCTTACTCCGCCCAGCCTGGCTGCCCGAGGGCGTCCGGAGGGGCTGGCCCCCGGTACACTGCGAGGGGACGCGGGAGAGCGCAGGTCCCGGCACTCCAGGTGGAGCTAGGCAGTAAAATGGGGCGGCAGGACCGGGCGGCGTCGCCTCCTCCGCCTCCCTCCCGCAGCAGTTCCGTTAGCAGCCGCAGCTGCTGCTGAGAGCGAACTGCGGTCCTGCAGGAAAAGACGGGAGATTAAAGGGGGCGGCAGTGGGTGGAAAAGCTGGACTGTGTCTCCCTCTAGAGGAAGAACCGGGCTAGGGCGCTTTCCCGGCTGTAACTAGGGCTGCAGCTTCTCCACAGAGAAAAAGGCAACAGGATCTGGTTTCAGAGAATTTTGCCTTTTTACCAACTCCAACCTCTAATGGATTTGGAGAGACGATTTGCACTCCAGCGCCACGTAACCAGAGTCCTTGGTCAAAGAACCTTGTGCTGTTTGCAGAAATTAAAGAGCAAGACGGGAAGGCCGTGTCCTTAGGGGTCAGATCGAATTGGGTGTTGGTTTAAGCTGCACGCCCCTGAGCTCAAAGGAAGGGTCTTTCTTAGGCTCACTTTGATCAGCTTTGGCGAGAGGCAAAACCTTAATCTAGTGATTAGAAGATTATGCAAAATGAATAAGTACTAATAATGGATTTAGGACAAGAAAATATTCAACTAAGAGCCTTACAACTAAGGCTCTCTCAAAGCTCTGGCTTCGGATCCAATGTTCATACCCCTATTCAACTAGACTGGTAATTGTCGATGTAAGTCAATTCCTTCAGCTCTGAAGTTGTGTGCTTTTATAGCTCTGATCCACTGAAATCGCTGACAAAATAGGTTTCAAATGTTCTCTCCACTGGCTATAAAATAAAAGTAGTATTAGAGCCCTGGTCCTAAGTTGGCTGAAGCATTGTAGTACACCAGAAGGTTGCAGGTTCAGTTCCCAGTCAGGGTACATACCTGGATTTTGGGTTCCAGTCCCAGTGGGGGTGTGAAGGGGAGGCAACCAATTGAGGTTTCTCTCTCACATCTCTTTCTCTCTCTCTCAAATAAAATTCAATTAAAAAAATATGTCCTCAGGGGAGGATTAAAAAATAATAATAAAAATAAAAGTAATACTAGGTATCCTATTTAAATATGTTTCCCTTATTAGTGACTTTACCTTAGCATGCTTTGTAATTCACCCATATTTTGTATCTAAAAGGCATCAAGTATTTTAACTAGGTTGGGCGGTGGTTCTAATAAAAGATAGTGGCACAGATTTTATAATACTTTGTTACTTCAGTCAAGTTCAAGCTAGGTCCCATCTATAACTTTAGTATTTAGATTTTGTGAACTTACTAAACAAAGGTTTGCTTTCTAGAAGTTTCTGTATGTTTGTAAATTATAAAATGTGTACTAACTTCATGGTTAAATTCCTTCCCATTCACCATTCACTCTGAATGTTTGGAGTCATTCTATTTTAGCTCAATAATCTAGCTTAAAGAAAGAAACGAATTTATAAGGAAATAACTGAGACTGATTGAAATAATTTAAAGCAAGGAGCCAAAAGTAAATCACGTAAGTTTTACTATTTTAGCTCATTGTATTATAGTGGATTTAAGTCAGTTTAGCACATGGCAATCATTTGAAGTACCTTGAAAGGATCTCTTTCGAATGATTCATGTCATGTGATGAAAGATTTTTTTTTTTTTTCTCTTAACTAGCAACTTATTTCCCCAGGGAGCAAAGTTTACGTTTTAAAAGGCCTGGCACTACTATTTCATTGCAAATCTTACAGTAATTCTCTGCTATGTTAAGCAGTGGGATGGAATCCAAACAGGAATGGCGCTGGAACCCCCGGCTCTGTGCTGGAAAGAACAGCCATTTACAAAATCACTTTAGAACACTGGCCTTCCTTTCCTGTAAGAAATACAAAGCATGCATTATAATCCTTCTAGCTTCGAATTCATTAGCTTGCTGTGGTTGTGGGAAAAACTATAATTTACCATATTGTTAAAAGCTTATTTCTGTTGTTAAAATGTGTGACATTTTCCTTCTTATTGTCCTAATTAAACCCACTCTGTTTTGACAAAAATATGAAAGAAAGCTAGTAAACTTTTAAATGAATTGCAAAATAGAATAGAATTTCTTATCCAAAGTTATGTAACACTAAAATTCTGTAATAACCTTTGTATTTTTATAAGTATTCAGATAAATAATTCCCAATGATTTTTAGATCAAAGTACTCCTATTCCTGGCACCTCCTAGACTTTAAAACAAAATCTTTCTTTTTCTCCAAAAGGAAAAATGTGGCAAATACCTCCCTAATTTAATAGAAATCTTGAGATGGTATTTCTTTGCATCTGTTTACTTAAACTGCCTCCTCCTGTCTAAACAGGAAAAAATAGTTGCTTTGAATGCTGAGCTCCACTGGATTGCCGCTCCATGTGTAGCTCTCCATGTTCTGAGCGCTTATGAAAATTTGGGGGGCACTTCAAGCTTTCTCTGCTAGAGGCTTTATATGTGACCTCAAATCCTTACCTCAATTTCTCACAACATCCCATAAAATAGATGACATAACCCTATTTTACATGTGAAAAATATTGAGACAATTTCACCATCATTAAGCTGTAGCAGTGGGATTCAAATCAGAGGTACCTAAATCTAAAACCAGTTTTTGTTTTTTGTTTGGCTTGGTTTGGGCTTTGATTTCTTTTTCTGCCTTCCCCAGCACCGCCGTTAAAAGATGCTCTCTTCTATGTCACAGGGAATCAGAAATGCTGCGCATCTGCACATGGGAAAGCCTTAGCCGGAGGACCTGGGCCCATTCATAACAGAAAGAAGTTGTTAGTGGCAAAGACAGGGGGAGGAATATTCATGGCAGCTCCCCTCAGCGCTCTGCCGAGGTGCAGGGTATTAAAACAAGTGAACAAACAGTCCGATCCCTAGTGCATATGGGAAGAAGAGTGCGGCACATAAGCTCCTCAGTCCCACTTGTCTCCTCTTGTTTTGTTTCTTTAGTGCTAACTGCCTTATATCTCTCTTTTTCAATAATGCTTCTCCCACTCATCTTTCAAGTGTTTTTCACGTAATTAGGTGAACAAAAAGAGCCCAGAATCCATTCCGTCTAACCCAAGGTGGCATGCTATTAACTTTTAGTATCCCCATCACGTAGCATAGTACCTAACATACCATAAATACTCTATAAATACTTTATGGTCAGTAATCAGGAAACCAAATGGGTCAAGTGAGCAGACACACGCCATGGAAAATAAATCAAGAGAAATACTCCTCAGAGAGATAGGAGAAAGAACAAAGGCAAGAAAACTGTCCTATGAGTCCTATAAGCAGGTAGACAAAAGGGAAAAAACACCCCCAAATTTAGTGGCTTAAAAAACAAACATTTGTTTAGTTCACATTTCTGTGGATGGGCAGTTTGGGCTGAGCTCAGCGAGGCTCAGCTGGGCAGTCCCTCGGGACTCGCTGAGCTTGCTCCTGCGTCCATGGTCAAGTGGCAGTGTAGCGCCACGCTCACTGCCGGACAATCGTCTGACTGTACGCTGGAGTTTTGGGGGCTCACTAGACCACATGTCTCTTATCATCTAACAGGCTGGCTTCGCTTTTTAACGTTGTGGCAGTCACCAGCTTCCAAGAGTCGTGATAAGAGAAGCCTCAGTACCCAAGCACTTCCCGAGTTTGCATTGTGTTTGCTCCAGCCCCCTTGGCTGGGCAGTTCATCTGGCCAGCCCATACTCAAGGGGTGAAGGAAGATTTCATCTCTTAATGAGCAGAGCTACAAAAACGCATTCAGTAACCTGGTCCAGCCAGCCGATGTGGCTCAGTGGGTTGAGCCTTGTCCCACACACCAGGAGGCGGCTGGTTTGATTCCCCGTCGGGGCACATGTCTGAGTTGCAGGCTCCATCCCTAGTAGGGGCTGTACAGGAAGCAGAAGATTGATGTTTCTCATCCACACTTCTATCTCTCTCTCCCTCTCTCTGAAATCAATGAAAACATGTATTTTTAAAAAATAA